AATAATTAATTTTTACGAATTGCATCAGAGACATTTACATGTTACAGTTGTATATAAACCTATAGAAATATAGCAGTTAATCTATACATTTTCATTTATAGGGAGAGAGTAAGTCCTCCATTTCGATGCTCCAGGAATTTATGATGAAAGGGATGAAACAATTACCTAATTATACATTAATCCATGATGGTGGTGGGACTCACCTATCTTCATTTACTATAAGAGTTGAATGTAACGGTGAAAGTGTAGAAGCTACTGCTTCGTCAAAAAAAGAAGCTAAGCACAAAGCAGCACAGGCAATGTTAAATTTATTATCCAAAGAATTGGTTATTAAAAAATCGGAATCAGTGGTACCATCTAGTGAAATAAAAAGTGTTAATATTATACCACATGAGGTGACTTTCGTAAATTCAGCTTTCAATTCTATTGGAAAACTTCAGGTATGTCATAAAAATATTTACGTACATAGGTTGTATGTAATGAAATCTTATTTTAATTAGATTAATTTTAAACTTTTATAGCAATAGAAGATAGCAAGACATGTGCTTTATATTTATATTTATATTTAATACAACCATTGTAGGGGTAGAATATGGATTTCCAATGTATTTTTAACCTCTGACTGTTCTTCTGCCTGAAGGCAGTCACAGAAGGAGTGTTATGTATTTCACTTTAATAGATTTTTGGGCACTGTACAGAACTGCAATATTTTAATAATTTCAAGCTATATTTGTAAATATTTTTTTTTTGCTATAAATATGCATATACAAAATTTTACTAATTCTATCTATGAAAGTAAAGAAGATACGGTTTATAATTAATTTTTTTTTTATATGCAATGTCTTTGTTTTTCATATTATGGTAGGATTAAAAAAAACATTAAGGCCTGATTCTTCTGATATCACTTAATATCAAAACTGTTTATCTTGAAAATGCAAATATATCATTAACGAATCACATAGTTAAAATGAGTGAATAATAAACCTGCTATGACTTAATACGCTTTTCGTAAATCACTTGAAAAATTTAAGAACTCACATTAAAAGAAAAACGTTATATCCCAGTTCTCTTTAATGGAATAAATTGCTACTTGTATTTCTGTACGTTAGTTTACTCTTTAAGCTGTGATTTTTTTATACATAGTTTTTATAAAAGGCACATTATTACAAGGTATTGGATTTGATTTAACTTTTGTTATATAGTATTAATAAGATAAAACATAAGTTTTATTGAGAGAGTTTATGTTGAAAGATAATATAATCTTTCTTTGAGTACTTCCTATGGGTCTGACTATAAGAGGTTTCAAGATCACATTTTACTTGAAGATAGAATACATGTATAATAAATGTTATGAAG